CACTCTTTGTTCTCCTTTCTTAACTGGGACCACCGCCCCAGTTTGCCATACCAGCTGTGTTATAATGGTTCTCCTTGTGACACTGCAGAGGCACGTCAACCATGACAGTCTGACAATATCCAGAACCTTTAAAATCATACCACTTGCTTGGTTTGAGTGCAATCTTGCAAACATTTAAAACAGTGACTACTTAGTCTCCTGTGTGTCAGAGGAGGAGCAACTCTCCTAGAAAAACTCCAGTCATTACTGAATAAAATGTTGTGATCAGGCTGAGCTGTTGGAGGGAAGAACTACTCCTGGCTTTAGAGAGAGAAAGAAATAGAAAGCAATACAGTAGATAAAGTTTGAACGATTGAGAGAGAGAAACAAGAGAAAAAAGAAAGATATTTTTTTCCCTTAGGAATGTTCTATCAAATATGTAGACATATTCATGTTACATTGATTACAGCAATCAATTGTGCTACAGAGAGGTTTCTGTCATCAAAAGAAAACAAGGAAAAATGTCTTTCTTAAGAGCTTGTCTTTGCACAACACCTCTCGCCCCCAGACCAAATCCCCTGGGGAAACACTGATATGGAAATCGTTTCTAGTCAACAGTACCTGGGAATACAGCTGGATGGTGAGCTGAACCTGACCATTCTCATGGAAAGGCTGTAAAAAGGCTGACTGAGATCTTTAAACATATGTACACCAAAACTGTGCTCCTTCAACTAAATCGTGGTGACTATGTTTTTGTTGTGGTTTGCTGGGGAGAGGCAGCCCAAACAGCTTACAACAGGATACATAAACAGAGCTGGAAGGCAAGTTCCAAATGCGGGGCACTACCACAGACAGTTCAGCAGGTGGCAGCGTTGAGAATGCTCCTTGCAATTAACTCAATCATCAATCACACCTTCCACCTGCTTTAAGCTTTAGACATTTTACAAAGAAGCACATTCAGACATGGGCTGGTCCTTCTAAGGTGCTGGATAGAAGGCTACGGGAACTGCTAGCAGACATTAGCCTCTTTTGCAAACATTAATACCAGTCTATTGCATTTGCTCATTAATTCAACTTTAAATTTGTAAAGATTATTGACGAATCCATCCTTCTTGAATAGCTAGTGTTTCTTTTTTACTATTTGTTTTACTATTTGTCTTGTTTCTGTTTTATTTTAAATGTCTTCACTGATGCTGTTGAAACACAAAAATTAATAAGGTACCTACCAGTCAAATATAATTGGAGTGGAAATGAAAATTATTATTCTGTTACTGAAACAATTGTCAACTAATTTAAAGTGTAGAGTATACAGACTCTAAAAACAGGCCATTTGCTGAAAGAACAACACCCTCAGAACAGTAATTAAGCCCAAACTGTACAAAGAACATAAACATTTTAAATTTCAGATGAAAAAACTCCTTAGTCTGTTATTTTTGCTTAAGTGGGACAGTTTTACCTTCACCTAAAATAAATAAATATTATATTAACCACTCTTTTCTATCTTATTAACAAACAATTTGTTCATAGGAAAAAAAAATAGTCAACAGAATTAGCCTATTCTAATCTTTGTGTTAAATCAAGAAGTGTTTTTTTTAATTATTACCTTACTTATTTTGTTTTGCTCCACTATATAGTCTGTAACAAATAGCACTAACAAGTGAGTTTTTGTTTTGCTCTGAGAAAAGGTTTTGATTAGCTAAATTGCCATTTAGCTTGGTATTTCAGCAAAGTCTGCTAAACATTATCCAATCAGATTTCTAATTATCTACTTAGTTTCTTTCTGATTTCTCATCAATAATCTACTTTTTATAGGTTCATACTTGACCCAGATGTAACTCACGTACAGAGTACAAAACGGATCTCTGTAATAAGCTCACTTTTGCTATGCATTACTTGTTTTTTTAGTGCTCTTCATAAATTATTGGCTAAACAGACCAGCTCACATATTTATAAATATTTTAAACACTTGACTCATACTTTTCCCTTCTCACATTCATACTTTCTGAAGATGTAGACTTTTTACTCCATAAGTCTTCTGGCTGATGTCAGTTTTGTCCTGTGATTCTTATTTTTCTGTTCCAAAAGTCAAATCTTGATGCTTTTTGTCTTATCTTCTTGATATATGTTCTATTTTTTTATCACAAAACTTTTTAAAATCTTTTCCTGGCAGTTGCGCTGTTATATGAAAAGCCCCACTAAACTCTGACATATTTTCACATCTTGGACAACTCTGACCATGCCTGACTTCATCGCAGTAAATGTTTATTCTGTTTTTCATTACCACAGTTGAGAGCATGGTTGAAAATATCTGCCGTGTTTACAAACATCTGTCACTCATAAGGGGATGTTATTTTCCATTATCATCTGTGACAGAGAAGTGTGGATGTAAGCATATAACATATTGTGCTGTGGAGCTGAAGTCAGAGTAGCAAAACCACAGAGTCGACACAATATCCAGCTTTTCTCAAACATCTTGAAATAGTTAGGCACAGATTTGGCAACTCTCTCCCAATCTTTCAGGTCAGGGAGCATTAATAAATTCCTGTATGAGATTTTCTTTTTTCATGGGGTTTGTTTTTTCTTGATCTTCTAAATTTGTGTATGGCAACTTAATTAATGTCTGAATGCTAAACCCATGTTGTGTTTTACCACTCTGGTGACTCCACACTGGCAGAATGCTCACTTCCCTGCACTGGTGGGGAAAGCCTTTTTATTTGTGGTTTCTAAATCTTTATTCTAAGCTACTCAAAGCACCAGGATGAGTGATATCATGTGGTATTCATCAACATGGTAGCTTTTTTGTTGTACTTTATATTCAATTAAATAGGGAGATTAAAGACAATGACACACAAAGGGGGTTGAGCAGCAAATGGAACCAACAATTTAATTAGTCCTCTTTTCTTCTTGATTGTTTTTACTCACAGAACAGAAAGATTCTCACATTGACAGACTTAAAACTTTAATTATTTATTTTCTTTTTTTTTATTATTGAAACTAAGTGAACAAAGAAAGTAATTTGAGTAACTGAAATAATTTTAAGGCATAACTGGATGCAGCAAATCAGAAATATTCTCCGGAATTTATTTTACTGATACTCTGTCAGAAGAGAGTCGAATTAGAGGAAATGTGAGGAAACAAATTCAGCCAGTTTACTTCATTTGTATAAAGTGTTGTGTGAAAATGTAGAGGTCAAAGAGTTCAAAGTCAGAGTTAAGGGTTTTTGATCAGCAAACATTATTTTACATGATTTGAGAAAATGATAAAACCTGATCACTGATTTTGCAACATAATTTTGTGACTATCTGCCGGACAACTTTTCCAAATGCATTATTGTGTAGGCCATACAATTTGATGGTCAGAACATAAACCTGAAGAGTCTGTATATTATATAAATATGATGTTCCCCCATATATAAACTGAGTTGGCTAAATAAATAAAGTTTTAGTTGATGTTCCAGAAAAAATTCAAGAACAAAATTACATTCTAAAGTGTTAATTTAGTCAGGGTGATGTTACAGGCCCATGGAGTTTTGCACAAACAGACATAAAAAACTATTTTCCTCGACAACCAGAAGTTTCCTTCCCATTTAGTTCATAAAAGCTTATATGGTTTGAGTGAAATATTCTTTTAGGCATACACAATAACATTTATGCTCAGAATAACATTTGTCACACTGTTGTTGTTGTTTTTTTTTAACTGCACTTCTTGTTGGTAATTCTAACGTTGAATTTACTTGTGTTTTATTCAAGTCTAATTCAGTTTTCATATAGTCTTTTATTATAGTTTATCCTTCTGTTCTTGCTTGTGTTCTTTCTATTGCTGTTTTTTCCTCACACACATTCTGGGGCTGTCACACAGAAACAATTTTAGACAGTGGCATCAAAATTTCTCTATCCTGAAACTTGATGTGCACCAACAGATCTGCAGATGCTTCAACAGGCCATGTCATGTTTCAATGATTAATGTGCTACTTAACGAAAAGATGGAAATCATCACTTCTGCAAAATGCTGGAGAAGTGTTGCTGTCAAAGGACAAAATGGACATGTCTACATCTGTTTTAAATTGTCAGAAGAACTGTTTTCAACCAAACATCAAAGGTTTTTAAGCCGTCAGTAAATAGTTATGTTACCATAGGCAACATTAACACCAAACAGTTACTAAAGCTGAACTTGTAAAAGTAAATGGACTGAACTTAAAAGTAATAGTACACCATAAAAAAATTGAATTTTACTTTATGGCTCATAGTTTTTCTGATATGAAGTCATGTGTATCTAAATTAAGTCTGAATGATAAATCTGACAAACGCTAGTACCCTCCAAGTTGAAAACCCAGACATTTCAGTCCACATCAGTGTGGAACTGATCGCAGCCTCTCTTATCTGAAGGACAAAATCAACAATGACAACAAGTTATTAACGATTATAAAACTGCTTACTGAAGAAACAGATCATATCTGGATGGATACATGTTATCATTCCTTTCCTTTGTGCATATCTACACCGATTCCTCCTATCCAAACCAGGCAATCAAGGTCTTCCCGAAACATGATGGTACATGAAAGTGGGACCCCTCTCGAAGCAGGAATAATGAGCTTACCCGGCCCCCATAAATGCTAGAAGCGCAGCTGCTTTTAATCTCTCCTCGCTCTTTTGTAAATTGCGTCGTGGTGCACAGAATTAAACAACGTGATAAGCTCAGATGTGTTTTAATTAACATTAAACATAAACATTTATTTTTCGTCCAGTTTTTACTTCCCTGTGCCACGACAACCAATAAATAGCTTGCAAATTGATCAGTTATTATAAACATAACTTAACATGCTAAAGAGGGCAAAGAACCAGTTTTCACGGATTTATAATTAACTTTATAATTGGCGCCCAAAATAAAAACCTCTAAATACCTAAACTAAGTTTAAATCTGCGCTGCGCCTCTTTGCAGCATCATCGCCCCTCCAGAGAATATATAACTGCTCTGCTTCACAGAGGGCGCAGGCTAAGTGTTTTTGGTGTCCTTATCTCGCAGGATCTCTATCCTGCCTTAACGAGGCACTTGACCTCCCTCGACGCTCCTCTACTCCCCGAGTGACGCAAAAAAAGTGGGCTGGCAGAGCGCTAAGAGCAGGAGTTTAGAGGACTAAACATCACTACTCAAGCAGACTTCATTTAGGGAAGCCTATAGGTAAGAAGCCGTCTGTCTTATCTCGGATGTTCTCAATGAAACTCCTCGTTGGCGGAGACACCGGCATGAGCGCGGATGTATTCGAGAGCGAAAGAACTGACTTTTCTTCAAACTTGTAGCAACCAGCGTTCCCTGCCTGTCAGTGACTTTAGAGCTTGATGAAACTTTTTTTTTTTTTTTTTTTCTTGAATGAGGCTGGCACATCTGGACGCAGGGCTGTCGGAGCTGTCAAGTCCAGCGCAAACTTTTAGACGGACGTGACTTTGGTTTATTCATCCCCAAACTTAGAAGAGTTATACTGGAACCAGTTTGAATTGAAAACTCCTCCTGTAATTTTTGCAACTTTTATTTACTTTTTATTTATTATTATTATTATTATTATTATTATTATTATTATTATTATTATTATTATTATTATTATTATTATTATTGAGCGCAAACATGGAACACTCAGTCCTCAGACTGACATGCGTTTTGGTGGTTATCTCTCTGCTGGATAAAAGGTGAGTTGCTATAAAGTTGTTGTTTTTTTCTTTTTTACATAGATGTTAACTTATTTTATTTTTATTACCTCATTTATTTATTTTTATTAAAAAATATAAGCTAAAAACACCATTCTGCAGAGATAGATTTAATATGTTCAGTAAATAGTTTGCAACTTACCATAAAAGTTATCATTTATTCTTGCAAGTAAATGATGCACAAACCTGCTTATGTTCAACGCATAAGCAAAACATGTTAATGTGATTTTAATCTTTGCAAAGTGAGATTTTTGCAGAAATCCCATCAGGTAGCATCTGCATCTGAAAGCACATGGTTTGGTCAGTTGTCAAAACCTTTGAATCATGTACGTCCTGTTCAGATAACATGTGGCCAGTGAAGTTCTGTAGCAGTTATAAGTTGTAGAAACTTATACAGAAGTGGCGTGCAAAGTGGCTTAGTTGTAAAAGCAACTGTGCACTCTGCCTTACTCCAAAGTATTTGCATGTTAAGGTGTGCTACAGCAGTTGCTGATGTGTGTTTGCCAAGAGCTACACATGCCGGTGACTTCAGGTATATCAGCGTGAGGCACACAGAAGCACACAGTCTGTGATTTACACGTAATGGTGATGAAAGGAAAAGCTGGACACCTTTCAGATCTTTCAGTGCTCAAGTTTTTCATTCTCGCTGCCGTTACTGCTTCTTTGTCGAGTTGGAAAGAACTCTGAAAGTGCCGTCGGCTGAATGCTGTTTCACATGATTGATCTGCAGCACAAATTTCTCTTGGCTGAAAATAACTTTACAGTTAATTAGAAAATGTTTGCTAAGTTATATCTCCAGACATGATTTATGAGGAAACATCACAGGGGGTTTTCCACTGCTGTACTAAAAATGGCACTTAAGAATCATCAGCTTATTATATGACAACGGTCTTGTTTTATTTAATTCCAGACTGTTTACATTAATGTAAAATAAGTTTCATGACGTATTATTGCACTTACAAATGGCAACACTGCTAAAAACTATCATCTGAGTCACAAATAAAACAAACAAAGCAAGAAAGTGCTTAAAAAAGTGGACACATCTGGAGCTGGTTGTGTGACAGTTAATCATGTATATTTTTTACGTTTTACACGACCCAGCCACAATGGAGACTGTGCACTTGAGCCATCTTTGTGTTACTGTGGGAACTGAATATTGGGGTCACATTCAAGGAGACTTGGTGGTCTTAACTAGACTTTAGTGTCTAACAAAACCTGGCCAAGCGGAGGCAAGAAGGTCTGGACCACAGAGCCGTCCTGCTAATAACCCCCAACTTTGTGCTCCTCACAGGGTGGATTCCAATGAGATCTTAGGTCTGAAGCTTCATAACATTGAACCCATCCTGAATGCCAACACAGTTTGCATGACGCTACCCGGTTTGACGAAACGCCAGCTGGAGGTGTGCATGCGCAATCCGGATGTGACGGCTTCGGCAATCCAGGGGATCCAGATCGCCATCCACGAGTGCCAGCACCAGTTCAGAGGGCACCGCTGGAACTGCTCCAGCCTGGAGACAAGAAACAAAATCCCCTACGACAGCATAGTCTTTAAAAGAGGTCAGTTTTACTGCACCCTTCTGAGTCTGTTGCTTTATCTGTCATGTGGCTGTTTGCATCCCAATTAAAAAAAAAAACTCTTAGAATTATGAAAGGCAAAATGTAGAATTTTCTAACGGAAGTAATGTTCAAATTCATAAAAGATAAAGTTCAGCAGTCAACACAGAGTACCAAAAATTTAGATTTCAAATGGCTTGTGGTTTTCTCCTCAAATACACTTCAATGAAGTCCCTTTAAAGCACAGGCTTACAGAGAGATTAGCCAGTACAGCGATACAAAAGATCCCAAACAACGGTTAATATAATATTGTTCTTCAAAGGTTAAAAAAAAAAAAAAAAAAAAAACTGCACAAAGAGATCATTTTGCATTTTCATCAATGCCGCCTTGCAAGATGCCGTCCAGTGGTCGGGTTATCTCCAGTCACCAGCAGACCTTCCCAACCACATTACTGTTGCTCCTCAAAAACCCACACAAAGGAGCAGATAACTTCAAAAGAAACTAGTCAACTTCAGATTACCAAACCTGCTGCAGATCGGTTTTCTCCGATGCTTTGTTGTGCTCGGAGCTTTGCGAGTTAGCCACAAAGGATGAAAGGGGATATTTTGAGCGGAGAAGCCTTCAGATGGTCTCATCCCAGGTCATTGACTGGAAAAGGCATCAATTTCTTAGTAGCCGGAGCACCTGGACAGTTGGAACATGTGGCTGATAGTTTCAGTTTTGGGTTAGGTTGGCTTTCAGTTAATTTATCCCTAATAAAATATTATTTTCAGCATATAAAAAGTGCAAAACAAAATTAAAAAGAAAATATACTTGGCAACTATATATCTGGAGGAGTGTTTATATTATTATTTATCCAGAAGGTCCCTATTACTAAACAGCTCTGAGTTTAGGAAGAAAACTTAAAGAAAAGTAATATTCCTTTTACTTTAGTGAAAGGATCATTTTCTGTTAATTTATTTTGTATGCCAGATTATTTTTGCCTTATTTTCCACAAATATTGATACTTTAGTATCAATATTTGTACTTTCTCTTTCTCACTGTTTATTCAATGTTACATGACTCTGGTTCTGTTTTTAATTATGTAAAGCACTTTGAAATGCCTTGCTGCTGAAATGTGCTATACAAAGAAAATTTGATTGATTGATTAGTGGAAAATGTATTTTGAAAACCACACTTCAATGCATTTCATTTAGATTTTAATATGTTGCCTTAACATTAACATGCACAATTTTTTTAAGTGGCATCAAAAAAAAAAATCTCATTTAAGGTTTGTGACCGTAAATATCTGGTAAAATGAGATCAAACTTTAACATTATGGCCCATATGCAAAAATCGTCTGTGTGAAGGAAAACTTAAACTGCTTTTTACCGTAACACACCTTTTTCCACAACGGAACATGGTAGTGGCAGTATTACGCTGCCACTACCATGTTTCCCTCATGTTTTTCCTAATTCCTAATTCCCAATTCCTAATTGTGCGCAGGAAAGTTGGTCATGGTTGACTGGATTATGAATGACGGTAAATACAAGTCAGTCATGGAAGAAAAAGCCATTAAAGTTTGAAGCTGACTAGCAACTGGGTCAAAGGATTCCCTTCCAGCAATTCAATCACTTTAAATAGACAGTCAGGGCTACAATGGAATGACTCAGATCAAAGCTTGTTCATTTTTTTTAAAATGATCCATTTGAAGTCTTGTCTGAAGTACAGGTGAGATTCTGTAGCGACTCTTGAATGTCCCAATCTTATCTAAAATGTGCTACTTTGCTAATATGAAAGAAGGTGAAAACATTTTGTTTCTAAATGCGAAAAAAAAACAAAACAAAAAAAAAACAGTTGTAGCCTGCAGCGAAATGCAACAAGATGAAACCAAATTAATATCACACTTCTGAGATTCTTATTTTAAAGCCATGAATCACTTTTCTTTCATTTCTTAATTGTATGCGCTGTGTTGAAGTATTACATAAGAAGTTAATGAAAAGCACTGAAGTTTCAGTCTGTAAACTGAAAAAAATGCAAGAAAGTCCAAGAGCTATGAATACTTTAGCAAGACACTGTGTGTATTTCATCTCTAGCATTCATGCAGATCTTTAGAGTTTCAGGCTTAAGTAAGTTTGTGCTACTACTGAAAAGAAACTTTTTTTCATTGCACTGTAAGCTTGCGCACCGCTGGCCTTACTTTCCCTCATAACTGCCTCATTCAAAGGCTGTTTGTCATTATTACTGCAGGCAGTTGCTACAGTAGTTGTCTGGCATCCCTGGTTCGCCTCGGGTGCAGAAACTCCAAACCACTGACATAAACAACCTCTTTAAATCAGATGATTCATCTGTTGCATGTTGATACGATCCCCTCCACAGAAGCTGAAAAATGGATACAAGTTAACATGTTGCAGCCATTATTGCGTGCAGCTACTGCAGCGCGGCGGTGCTTTCAATGAGACATGTTTACAGACCCGAATTAGATGAAATCTGGCATGCTTTTCAGCAAAACTGCCTGTGGAACTAGACATGACCGTCTTACATGCATAGACGGAGTAGGCCAAACCAGAATTGTTTAACTAACTTTATTAATAGTTTTAAAAAGCAAGACATGTCATTGGATAGTACAATATAAACAATTTAGAAGTCTAATTTTGCTGCATCAGAAGCTGTTGGATCCTCAGGCTACGCCACAGATCTCTGCTGATGGTCTCCTGTGAATTTTCTGGGCTCGTGTTCATTCTTACTCAGCTTGCATTAAAAACTAGGCTAAGGAGGAACCCAAGCAAGACGTGGATCAACAGAAGTAGGAGAATCGGACCGTCTCAATCTGTCATTCTTTCTTTCGTTTTGCCTCCCCTTATCTGTCACTGCGCCTGCTCCTAATGCTTTTACTTCCCTTGCCAGAGTGAGTACTTGTGAATTTGCTCTCAGCACTTTCCCAACTCTCGGAGGCAAAAGCATAAACCTGTTTAGTCGGTTTCTGTAACACAAAGTGACAGTTTCCTTTGAAACTTTAATTCATTTTGCCACTTCCTCTGCCATCAGTTCAGCCGGGCGTGCCGCAGCCGGTGAATTATTTGTTAGATTGATTTGTTCCCAAGTCTTCCGGGGACCCGCGTGGAGGAGCCCAGAGCAGAGCCGGACAGGAGCTAAAACAGGCTTTCGATGTATGGGGGTGTGCCTAAGTGCCATCTCTCCTCTCCCACCCTATGCAGGTCAAATTGTTAGGGTAGAGGTGGCAGATGGGGAATTCCTTCGAGTTATGTACATGAAAGTTTAAGTTAGAGTATTATTTCTCATAATAATAATAAAAAAAACAATAACCAAAGATAGCTTTTTAATTACTATAATTCACCTGCAACTTTCAGAAAACAAGATGGCAGTTTATAATTTATAAGCTAAAGAGCTAATTTTAGATTTTTGGTTATAGAAAATCAAACTTTTATTTCGCTTCCAACATGACAAAATGCAAATTTTGATACAATAATTAAAATGTGATTTATGCCATGCTTTACATTGTCTTTAGTGACAATGACTACGAGCTTTCTTGGCCTCCATTAACATAAAACTGCCTAATGCAGAAATACTTTAAGTATTCATTTAGTTCATAATACATAAATATAACACTAAAATGTTCATTTATTGACTTTTTATGAAAGGTCTGACTTCGGACAAAGCTTGCTTACCTCCATGAAGCAGACATCTGAAAGCAGGAATTGCCAGCGTATTCATTGGTTAGACTGGGGTACTACTCTTACCACTCTCAGTTTCACACCTACCCACCAGCATGTCTTTGTAAGTGCCTCTCTTGGCAATTCAGAGGCTTAAAAGCAGCAGGTTGACTTCAAACCCTCATGCCACCTTGCTCCTTACCTAATTCACACCAAGACAGGAAAAGGTTGTCTCAGGCCTGACTTGCAAGTGTTTTGTGAGAGGTACTTAAGGTTCTGGGATGTGGCCCCTGTTTAAACCACCTTTGATCCATCCCACATAAACTAATTAAACGGGCCATGCCTCAACACGATGTGCTTGTACCTTCATAAAATTGGCAGTGGAGTTATAGCAGTGCTATTGATTTGATTGAAGGAATGCGGTCGCCGCCTCTGACTTCATACCTACTCGTCAACTTGGCTCTTTGGCTTCCTAACTTCCTGGCTCCGAGCCATTAAAGAAGGCCATTTTAAAAAAAACTGCTTTCAAGCCAGGCCTAAAAAACCTTTTTCCTTTCTCTCTGTTTTATGTAACAACCAGTGTGGTAGGGGGGTTAAGGTGAACCCATCGCCCTGAGCTGCCAATTAAGCAAGTCGCAGAGCACTAGCTGATTAGATGTTAAGAGTGGGTAAGCCGCACAGCACTCCAATACAACCAACCACATTTCTTCCCAAGGTGTTATGAAATATATGTGCCACCCTTAAAAGTATTCATATCCCTCAAACTTTTTCACGTTGAAACCACAAACCTCTGTGAATGTTTTTTTTTTTTTTTTTTGTAAGCCAAATGAAAGTAATGCTTAATGAAGAAATAAAAATGAAATAAACCTGTTTAGTCGGTTTCTGCAGAATAAAAAATTCTAAATTAAAATTTTAAATCTAGAAAGTGAGACATTCATATGCACTTATTTAGACTCTTTGCTCAAAATTTGAGAAATAATTGCAGTGTCTTCAGAATTCAGTTAGTAAATTAAATCCACTTGTGTGTCATTAATTTCCCATTTTCAGTCCTGTAGAAAAGGATTTTACAGAATTCATTACTTTTATCTTTTTATTTTTATTTTTATTTATTTTTTTTATTTTTGTCACTCTTAAATGTTTCACTGCACTTTTAATCTAGTTTTTGGAAATATCTTAACACACTTGAAATAAGACAAACCTAACTTAAAAGTAACTTTTCAGAAATGTATATAAAGGAGCTTGTTTTAAGTCAATAATTCCTTAATATTGACAAATGACTAGTTCCACTGGCATATTATTTCACTTATAACAAGACATTTTTCCTGTTATATGTGACATAAAACCTGCTCCGGTATGTTTTATGTTTGAAAAGTTACTTTTAAGTTAGTTTTGTCTTATTTCAAGTGTACTAAGATATTTGCACTAGAAACTAAATCTGAAGTGCTTGATAAGATTTTGCATTTTTGCACTGTTCAAAGGGTTTCTTATCAACAAATAGAAAACCCTAGATAAATAGTTATTTTCAAATAATGATGTCATTTAAACATACCCGTCACTTTGATAAAGCAAGTGTTTACAATAAAAGACTTCACAGTTAAAGTTATGCAACAAAATCTGAATTTGATCAAAGACCAGACTTTCACTAGGCCATTTCAAAACGTTTGTTTATGTGGTCTGAGCCATCCAGAGGTCAATGTGCTGGTGTGCTTTGAATTACTGTCCTCCAATTCAATTTGACAGCAAAACTTACAGTTCCACCAACTATCTAAATTTATGCAAGTGCTAAAGCATCACACAATACACACACCACTCTATACAAAATGTGTGTGAAGTCCTGAGAGTTTTGGTATCTATGTGAGACAGCTGAGATGCTTAAAGGTTCTTCTTTGCAGCCAAAATTGTTGAATTGTCGTCATAAAAAGTCTTTGAGGTGGATCCGCAGTGAATCATCACAACCCAGCTTCAAGGTGTTTGCTTGAAATGAATAAAAGTTTGATCTTCCAAGTAATAAATCAACACATACTAATAACGACATTTTTGTGATGACATTTTTTTTAAAACATATAAAACTCTTGGGGTGAAAGTTTTATGTAAATTCCAGAAAGGCATTTCTGGCTTCTGATTTTATTACATTCTTAACTGAAATTCAAATGTTAAAAGGTAGAGAGTTATGTTCAGGAAAACATCAAAGACTATTTTTTTCTTAAATATTTTGTTTCCTGATTCAGCCTTTTGCATATTGCACTTGTAATTGTTGACATAAAGGGTGCCCCTAAAACATGTGCAATTTGTTTCCAATCCGTCCGTATGAGTAAAATGCTTCAGATTTGGTTTAGATATTCTGAGAATACTAAGTTTTAAACCTTCCGTTATTGTGCCATTGCAAATGAATGTTCTTATTTTGTGCAAGACTCTCTTGTTTAGTCCATATACGACTGCCTTTGACGTTTTATGTGTATATCATTAGGCTGTATATGCTGAGCAAAGAATTTCAGTACGGCAGCAACTGCGTCAAACGTTACACCATATTCTTGCAAAAACAAAGCAGTTTTATGTTTTCTGACATGTGTAGAAAGAAGGAAGTAACCTCAAACTGCACTAAAAAGGGAAGTTAATAGTTTTATATGACTCCAACAAGCAGCTTGGATCATTTCCCCCTTTCAAACTGTTGCACTGTAAACCCCTGAGTGGTTTCTTTTCATGTTTGCTTTACAAGTTTCCATTCTAGTCCTCACTGTTTTCTAAACCAGTAAGTGGATCCCAGTGGGGCTGCTTTTAAAGAAACTGATGGCACCTTCAGACAAAAAGCTCAGATCTAACAGCAGAAACCCCAGATGGGACGTGTTAATATGTCTCCCTTCAACCAGTATTATTCAAGAGTTCCATAAATAAATATTGTTGTTTTTTTTCTCACAGTGCAAATGCATGCACACATCTGTTTGTGCAAAGTAAGACTGCACCTAAAAATGACATATTAATTTGCATTTGCTATCAAGGAGAAAAATGTGTGTGTAGCTGACAAGGTTACATCGGTTACACAGTCAGGAGAATCCACACACAGGTATTGAATCACGTCCCGTTCTTGCAGTGATCCTTCGAGCCAATTTGGCTTGATTACAAGGCAAAAGCCGCAATATGGCACAAGCAGCTTGTCTAGAATAAACAAATACATTTTTCATTAAGTTTTCAGCACCACATTTAAAAAGATGAAAGTCAGAGGAAGAATCAAACTAGATCATCCAGAAGCACAAATGAGTAATCAAGCTGACTGATGATTATGATCTGTACAAAAGATCAAAATAACATAAGGAGTAGGTTAGGTCAAAGTCAGAAATATTTTTATCCCTGACTTCTTATTAGTGCTGGTTTATTTAATCTCCAAGCAGACCTTGCAAAAACATTCATAGGTCTTGATGTTTTCCACATTTTGTCATGCTACAACCACCACAATTCAATGTAGTTTATTTGGATCTTATATGATAGACCAACACAATTATAGCACAGTTTTGGGAGTTGGAGGAGAAAAAAAAATAAAAAGTAAAAATTGTGTGTTGATTTGTGTGTTTTGTTGACTTGTAATTTGTCCTCTTTATGATGATCCCCCTAATTAAAACCTATTGCAACAGTTTAGCTTCAGAGGCCATCAAATTAGTGAATCAAGTCCATCTGTGTAATGTTATGTCGATATAAATGAAGCATTTTGTGACATTCGAGGGTCATTAGTGAGCAAAAACAGCAACATGACAACCAAGGATACACACTATCTATACTCTGAAACATGATGACAGCAGCATCATGCTGTGGCATGATTTTTTTTTTTTTTTTTTTTTTTTGCGGTTGGGAAAATTCCATTAAATATTTAACCACAGAAACAAGTGAGTGGCTTATGTCAAAGTATTTTCATTTGTCAGAATATTCTCTACACAGAGATCTGACTTTGTGGCAGAGAAATGAAAGCTGATATTGTCATGCAGAAAAGGGCAACAGTTTCAGTGTTCCGATTTCCAAACCTTGTAGCTACCAACCAAAAAGTCTTTCAGCTGCAAATATTCTGAAAATAGACTGCAAAAGCATTGACGTAAAGTTTAAAAAGATGCCGCACTTTTCAGATATTTTGTCTTCAGTTAAGAATTTCTGTAAAACCAGCTAGATTTTAATTTTTTTTTTTTTTTTTTGAGTTCTGCTTTATTTTGTGTTGGTCTATCACATATGATTTCCCTCTCGGTGTGGTTGTAACTTGACATTGTGATAAATGTCAGTTGGTTTGACAACCTTTGTAAAGTGCTGTATATCTATAGCAGCAGGACAAACAAAAAGACGCAAGCCACATTTGTCACGGTCGGTGATTGCCTTTTGTGTTGTTGAATGGGAGTGGTAACAGTTTGTTCATGTTCTTCTGGTCTACCAGGAGAAACTACTTAACTGTTATTGTCTCTTGTATTTCCTCATGCATTTTGAGTGTTTGCTTGCTTAGTGATATGATACAAGGAAACAATATTTGTAATATCTCTCATAAGGTATGCAAATCTGTTGAGTGGTGATTTGCGCAATCATTGAGCGTCACAAATTCTTTCCTAAGTTTCATTTGGTGTAAAGAAAATGTTGCGTCTTTGAATATTAGAATATTACATCTTTTTGGGCTTCATGGCTCACTGCTACTGGGCATATTGGTAAAAATGAGCCCTTCAACGTTGCTACTGGTACTGCTGCATGTGCTGATTGTACTGAAATCATACTGTTTTCTTCTCAGCGACACTGCTGGCAGAATGTTGTGAGTCAACATCCTGTCTCATTCAGCTTACAGCTCGCATTTGGCCATGTCATTGAGAAATTTAAAAAATCCCAACCCTCGCTGTATGAGCGGGTCATGACTTTCTGAATGGCGTTGTAGTTGCAATAACAGCACAAATATCAAGAACTCAAATGCAGCAAGAAGAACTTACGAAAGTTAGTTTTTTTCTGTGCTTTGTCCCCCATCATTTCTGTCAAATGGGGGCAGTGATCGTCACCCGCATGGCTTTGTTTACATTGTGCTTGGAGAAAAGCACAATGTGAAAGCAAACCCCATTAAACAAACTGACAAAAAAAGTCTGCTTTTAGTTCAGAAAATAAAGTCGACCAAAAGACTGTCACGTTGTGAAAACATCCTAAAATTGCAGATAAGCCTAAATGCACTACACCCATAGTATATCATAGTGGTGGTACAGTCATGAAGTGGGGTTACTTTTCTGTGAAAGGACAGGGAAGCTGGACAAGGAACAGGACAACAAAGCTGGTTTAATTGAGATAAAATGAAGTTATCTTAATACAGACTTGTTTTCAGACTTTTATCTGAAAAAAAAAACAATAAAAAACTATACATTTTTTGTCTTACCCTTCACAATAAGTAACTTCTTTTAGCTGGTCTGACACATACAATCCTTATTTAAAAAGTATGTGTTTTGCTGTGTTTGTTAATTGTCCCCTATGCTTTCATTTATGTCGTTCTGATGCTATTCTTTCTCAAGCTTTAGTCATTTACATTGAAATTATCTTTTTTCTAAACATATGCTTTTTTTTCCTGTTAAAAGCTTACTGTGTCCTTCGGCTTGAGCTTTTTTACTTATAAACTGACTGTACCCACAGGTTTTCGAGAGAGTGCCTTTGCATATGCGATCGCAGCAGCTGGGGTGGTGCACGCAGTGGCCAATGCCTGCTCCATGGGAAAACTGAAAGCATGCGGCTGCGACGAGAAGCGGCGCGGGGACGAGGAGGCATTTCGACTCAAGCTCAGCCGCTTACAGCTGGAGGCCATCCAGAGAGGGAAAGGGATGGTTCACGGTGTGATGGAGCACTACCCCGCCGAGCTCTCCGGACTGCAGCCAGACTCCTGGGAGTGGGGTGGCTGCAGCCCTGATGTGGAATTCGGGGAAAAGTTCTCAAGGGACTTCCTGGATGCCCGCGAAACCTACAGAGACATCCATGCAAGAATGAGGTTGCATAATAATAAAGTTGGGAGGCAGGTGAGTGTCTGCACAACATAATACGAAGGGTTCTTAAAACTGTTTATATAGCAATTTAAAGATTAATTACTACATAAATCACTAATAATGTCAGTCATTGGTTTATGGATTGCTGCGTTGAGGCTTGCAGTTTGCCACTTTGTTGTATCCATCTTGAGTTTTACAAGCCAAAAGAGAAATGTAAAAGAATCTCTGAGTCGGGACACAAAACGCAAGGCATGTCCAACAAAACTGCGTTGAAACGTTTTAATGTGATCTACTAGCACACTGAGATTTATAACATGATGTGTTGGGGTAAAATTGCATATAAACAAGGCTTTTAAGAAGTCTGTCAACAAATAATACAGGACCCTCCCAAAAAAAATAGTATGTTGTTTCTAAACAACTAAGCTTTTCTTGACTAGTAGGTTGTTCTAACATGAAAATGTATGTGGGTGATTAGATTTGATAAATCGTGACTTTTGATATGCAAATACAGTTATACACTGAATAAAAGGACACAATTCCATTTTTCCTCACTGTCTGAAGTTGAATCTGATCAACCTTTTCTTGTTTTATCTTAGTTAGAATTGGTCAGTGTCAGGGATAACTGTCTTTAAAACTCTATGACATGTGGTCAGACCTTTTGGGTTTTCTTCCACAAACTTCTCACAATAGTTTGCTTGAGTTCTGGTCCATTCCTCCTAACGAAACTGGTGTAACAGAGTCCATTTTGTAGCTCACCTCACTCACACATGCCTTTTTACATCTCCCCACATTTTCTCCCCATAGGACTGAGAACACTGACTGTTTTGTCCTTTAGCTTTTCCTTCCTGGCTGATGTCTTTAGAGGTCCCTTCAATGTTTCTTCATAATGTTCTTTCCTCATGATGACATCTATTTTATGAAGTGGACCAGTTCCTCCTGCAGCAAAACAAAACAGTTCCACAACATGATGCTGCCACCCACATACTTGGCAGTTAGCTGGGGCAACTATCCCTGTTCTTGCTCCAGATATAACAGTGGCAATTATGACCAAACAGTTCAACTTTATTTTTATCAGACCACAGGACATGCCTGCAAAAATTAAGATATTTGTCCCTGTGTGCATCTGCAAACTACAATCTGGATTTTCATGTTTCATTTTAAGTAAAGGCTTTTTCCTCTCTGAGGGGCCGTTCAGCCCATGTCAGGTACAGGACAGTTTGACTGCGGATGATGACACCGCCTTTACCACAAGGTAGTTTTTGTTCTGGAGTATATCTGCACATTTGGGAACAAAAGATGTTCATCTCTGGGACACAGAAACCATCTTCATAAGCATTTTGATGGTTGGACATTCCGATCATGTCAATACTTGTATAAAATTGTTTGAACAGATGAACGCGGCACCTTCAAGTGCTGTTAAATTGTTTCAAACGATGAGCCAGACTTGTGCAGTTGCATAATTCTCTTCCTGATATCTTGACTGATTTCTGTTGAATTTCTAATCGTGTCAAACTAGGAAACCGTGTGTTCCAGGTGTGGCCTTGAAATACATCCACAGGTGTGACTCCAATTAACTTAATGTGTCAGTTAGCCTGTTAGAAGTTTGTGGAAGCCCGAAAGGTTTGACACAAAGCAAAAAAATTTATAAACGACAGCTTTTTAAAATGTATCAGGTGCATAGATTTGGTCCCTGATACAAACCAAATGTATGTAAACTTTTGAAATTGATGGAAGTTACAAAACAAATTTCTCTGTGATTTAGCAAAAAGACATAATTTTGGTAAGTCTAACTAAACTAAAACAAGAACAGTTTGGTATGATTTGACTTCAGACTGTGAGAAAGCAATACATTTGTCTTTGTAATCAGTTTATGTCAATATCTGGTTTCAACTGCATAATGCTAATTGCTACTATCTTCATGCAATATTTGCAGTGTTCTGTAAAAACAAAAACAACAATTTTTGGTTCAACACTGCAGTTTGTTTCTGTGCTGACCTTTAGAGTGTAGTATTATGTGGCTTGGTTTCATAACAAAAGATGAAACGGCTCAATTGGTCAACAATGCAGAAAAGTTTCTGTGCAAAATTGCACACTTCCTATTGAAAATAGATCGAAAAACAGAAAATCAACAACAATTCTTACTGCTGTTACTGGAGCTACATTACTTTATTCTTATTTGCAATACATAGACCTGGGTATTTAGTTTAAATAATACATACAGACATAAGAGACTGCTGATTTAATAAGTTTTCTTTTCATTCTCAAATAAATAATTGCATCACATCATTATGCATCAAAGCACACCTACTTTTCATTTGTTCATCTAAGTGGTTCTTTTATTACATTACATTGATGCTCAATTCTGTGACTGTCCAACAAATTAAAACAAACAAAATAAACCAATGACATCTAGATGACAAGACATTTCAGGTCTGATGCTAAATGTTTATAATAAGCTTTGCACAAGCTTCAGTTGTGTGACACTAATAATTTGGTCATAATGTTTCCAGAAGGATAAAGAGAAAGTGGCAAAAATATTTATTAATGTTGCTAAATAGTTAGTATAATAGAACTGGTACTTTTCTTCATAAAACAGTAAGTCTGAATGAAAATGCAGTGAACACTGTTTCTCTGTTGAGGAAGTGGAAATTTGAGACTTAATTATTAGGATAGTTTCTGTCATCTTTAAGGTTCCCTACTTCTTCTAAACTCATAATTCCTCAGTTTTTGTCCAACGCTTAATGTGTCTTTTCTGTGCAAATGTATTGCAATTTTCAAGCTTTTTCTTTCACATGCTACTAAAAACTTTGGTATCTGTTTATGGATAAGACAACAGTCAAGTCTAAATATATAGTGCATATTTTTAAGAATATATTGAGATGCATTCCATTTGCTGTTTCTTCTAAGACTGGATCCGCTGATCTTGTTTTCACAGAAGCTCAAAATTCAAAGGTTTTTTTTTTTGTTTTGTTTTTCTAACAGAAATGATGATATAATGATATAACGTTGTCACACTGGCTGTCTTTTGTCGACACATTTTTTACTCTTGATTAATGTCTTTTATGACAAGATTAATGGAGGTGCAAGAGGTTGTAATTAGTTGAGAATTTTGCCAGTTTATTTTTTTATTTATTTTTTTTCAAAGGCAACGATTAAAACCGCCACCTTTTGAAAAGACACTCAAGCATTGTTTTGATGACTAGTTCTAAAGGATTTGCCCTTGGGGGAACGCAAGCAAAAAATGTAATGACATTGATAAGCTGGGCTGCGACCAGCTCTGTTGTGGCAGAGAGACAAGTAGCAACTGTAAATTGCTCATTGTTCCCCGGTTTCCTCCAGAGTAATTTGGGATCGTATCTTTTCATCAGTTTACTTCTGGTTCCCTTGATTTTGCAGACAAAACACAAATGCATTCGTCAGCCGAATGCAACAACAGCTGGCCTCTCTGCTGTAGGTGGACGTTAGAGTTAGTCATATAGCCATTTATTTGATGTTATTTTTGTATTTAGCCTTTATTTCACCAAGAAAATCCCATTGAGATTAAAAATGTCTTATGAAAGACAATCCTGGCCAAGACTGGCAGCCTGTCAGATTGATGACAAAAGGTTTCTATTAGTGAGGGGGAGTTGATATAACATGAGTAATAATGAATTGCTAAGCTAAACAAAGCCTATATTTTACTCTGTGAGGCCTCTTATTTTGTTTAAACAGACTGACTCGGTTTCGGTTACACAATTGTTGTTTTGTTTTGAATGAGTGCTTCATCGTAATTCAGGTTTTAAAGGAATCAAATTGACTCAGGCTGTCTCACGGCACAACATGCATCTTTGTTTTGTTTTCTTTGCTTATCTTCATAAAATGACATATCCAGTTGGAATGCTCATTAACAAGACACATTTTGTTAATCTGAGATGTTGTATTGTTAAAATCTTCCATTACCATTCAGTGGTGCACAATTTGAAACAACACATGTGCAGAATTCAATATGCTCTTCGTTGCAGCTTTACAATTCAAGTTACAGTGATAAAGATATAATTTGTCAAATTAATTTTCATTATTATGTGATCCCCTTGTATTGTGACATGATAGCTAATGAACATGTAGTGTGTTGGCATGTTATTTTCGAGGTCTTCTTGCCCACTGATTCAAAATATAATTTTGGTCAACATTTTTTACATATTTAACTTGTGCTGGACAGTGGCATAGTTAGTAGCAACGTAGCCTTGCAACTAGAAGATCCTTTGTTCAAATCATTCTGCATGGAGTTTGCAAGTTCTCTCTGTGAAAACTGTCATTTAAGTAACTTTTGCAAAAATATGTTTTCTCCATATTTATTAAAACTGTTACCATGTTGTGACAAGGTAATATGAGACAGTCTGTGAAAAGATCAGGCTCCTCCACCTTCTCCCAATGTCACTAGCGGTCTGCAAAATTGCCCTGTCAAAATCAACCAATCAGAGACAGAAGGAGCATCTTAGTGCTGTCAATCATCCTCATGTACATGGTGCTAAATGTACTAATGACAGAGAAACAACATATAGGACAACCAATTATCCAGCATCACCAGTGTCCATGCTAACCAGCATTCATGGCAGGAAATTTTGTGGTGAACCAGTTGTAGAATAGCAGAAAGCAATTTGGAGGGTTTTAGAACAAGCATGGCTGACAGCGCTAAAGCCCCCCCTCCCCCTGGCTCTGGTTATGTCTCACTGGATGGTGCATGTCTGTACTGGGAGGACTGGGAGAAGGCAGAGGAGCTTTCTTTTCATACATTTTCTGTCTTATGCCATACCACATAATGATAATTTTAACAAATAAAAGATATTTACATGCTGCAACTTTGCTGGGGGAAGTAATATTCTATCATAAATGTTTTGGGTTCCAAAACAAATCTTTTTCAAATGTGAGGGAGACGCGTTCCCTTCAGACATAATTACTGTGGTGGCCTTGTGTCACAGAAAACCTTATTATAATAAAAATCAATAGACTAGATTAACATTGCAGCAGTGTGGATATTTGTAGCTTTCCTATAT